GTATTTACACCTACATGGTCAGCACCTTTAAGCGGCGCTTCAAGGAAACAAGGCGCTCTTTGGGAGCAGCTGCTTAACCTTGTGATTGCGCAGTGATCAGAACAGGAGAAATTGCATGAAATCAGTTGGATTTGATCATTCCTGTACAATGGCCTTCAGAACAGATTCCTTTTATTTTTTCAGTTGCTTTTCAAGACTCAGGACTTCGTTCTGCTACAATACCGTTCCAGACATGAAAAAGAAAGCGAGACGAAAGCAGTAACAGAACTCCTAGTGTGGGATTTTTCTTGGTTGTTAGATTTTCCCTTTTCCTTTAGAATCCTACAACAAAAGTTTACAGATGTTTGGTATAATTAGTTGCATTAAGCAAATACCGAAGTTTTGGGGTTCTTCCTTTCTGATTTTTTTTTTCTGATTTTTACCCAAAACAAGATGTTTATTTTTCCATGCAAAAAGATTAATTGTGGCCATTAGTATTATCTATCTCACATTAAATTGCCAGGATACATTGCCCTTCTTGACAAGGGGGGCGTAGTAAACTTGAAGAACAGCTTCGTACTAACCCCGTGGGAATGAAAAAGCAGAATCGGGAGATGAGTCATTACCGTGTTTATCACTGATGCATTTTTTTGGTCAAATAAACATGCAGAACTCAGAGCATTTTCTGATCATTCATGAATGCAGGTTATGCCTATATTGTTAACTAGCTCAGGCTCAGCTTACTACAAAATACAGCTTCCCTTGTTACCCATGGCTGTTGTTTCCTTGGTCCCTCTCCTTGCCTTGCCTTGCCTTTTCAGTTGTCCCCACCTCCTGCCTGTTCTCCATCTCCATTTCCATGTCTCTTGCCCCTGCATGTTGTAGCCCGTCTCTTTTCCCGTTAGTTTGTCCTCTCAGCCTTTTCTGAGCAACAGACAGGGTTTCCCAAAGAGAATAATAAGGAAGGAGTGGAAATGATTTAGTGGGTCAGGTGTAGGACTGGGGGCTGGTGTATCTAAGTTCGGTAAGTCGCTGATCTTCTGTGCCTCAGTTTCCCTCTTGACTTAGGAACAGTCATTTTGACTTTTCTCGTAAGAGTGTCACACAGGTGATTCATGAAGTTTTTACAAAGTTCTTGTAGATCCCAAAAGGGACGACTCCATTTAAGGGCAAAAAGGATTATAATTGCTTATTGTTATTCAGGGACGAAATAGAAAATGAGACAATCTGTTTTGATGTTCGTTTAAAAAAAAAATAAAGGGCAACGTTTGAATATAGTTGTCAGAAGAAACCTTTTTTTGCAGTAGGCATCCTCTAAGCAAGCCCTGTGTCCGTTGAGTAAACTGTATTTCATTCCTAGTCATAAGACTATAGAAAAATAGATGAGCTGCAATAGGAAAGGGAGAAATAAATGATAAAGTAATTGCTAAAGAGAAAAAAAAAACCCTCTTGTAAATGTTTGCTACTCTGACAGCAGCATTTATTTTTACTTTCTCGAGGGATGGTCATTTATGGTGGTATCATACTTCAGTCTCAAATAGAGTATAACTACTTTGAAACCCCAAGATGTCTATTTCTTTAGTAGTCTCTTGCCAAAACAAAGACTTACAATGTTTCTTACAAGAGCGGGAACAAATCTGATTTTTCCCCCTGAAAGGTTTAGCTAGAAAGTTTATATACATGAAACCCTATCCCTTCTCCCTCCCCTCACTTTTCTTTTTTATAAGGAGAGGGAGAAGTAGATGAAGTCTCTGATGTTGAATCAGGCTGAGATTTTTATCATTTTAATGTTTCCCATCGCATGTACTATTTGTTCAGAAAATTATTGATATCCGTTTGATGTATTTTGACTCTGAAGAGCTTAATTTATCCCAGGTTTGATTACTGATGCGAGCAAAAATGAGAAGAGCAATGTCCTGATCCAATTTAGTAGGCAGCAGCAACACAAAATATCCACAAATTAAAACTCAATCTCAGTAAAAACACAGAAAGGCAGAGATCAGTTTGCCTGGATCTTTATGGAAAACTTTCTGCTTTGGGCACATTTCTCACACATGCTTATAGATGATTTTTAAACGTTGAGTCCTAAAGAGGCAATACAAATTCTTTATAGTTTGCATGAGTTAATATGAGAGAGAGAGAGATATTGCGTTTTGCCCAACTGTTGCTGTGTTTTATAAAAGGATCCTAGATTAAGAGAGAGACATTATGACCATGGGAAGTTTAGGGTAGGATAGAAATCGATGGGTTTATTAAGCTCTTAAATAGTTTTTTCAACAGGCTAAGTGGTTTTGGATTTCCTTACTACCAGCTTTAAAACTGGGTGAGAAATTAAAAATACCATTGGGATTCTGAATCCTCATCACCTTGATTTGGTGGTTTTCCACAGGAAAGCAGTGTTGTAAACCATCTCAAACATATGCTACGTGATTAGAGTCACCAGAATGCAGAACTTGAGTAACGGGGCTTTTTTTGCCTTGACATTGGTGTGTTCTTGTCGCCCAGCCTAGCCATCTGGTGCTGCCCGTTCAAGGATGGGTTATCGTGAAATTTGTACATTGTCTTTTTTTATTAACGCACCACCCATGATACACGAAAGGAATCGTGGAACACGTCCAGTTGCTTGGTTGTATAAAAGATCACAGACTTGAACTGTAATTTTAGGAAACGGAAAGAGACCTGGCTAAACTGCTGTGCTATCTCAAGTATACCAGCTCTGTATTAAGAGTGTAAGCTCCCGGGCTGAAATGTAACTGCATTTTCTCTCAGCAGTACGACAATTTTAATCTCCATTGAAAATGTCCCCTTCGGGATAAATCTGTCTTGGTCATTTTATTTTGAGTTTTCCCCCCTTTAAATGCAACAGCAGGTTTGTTGATTAAACACATTTTGCATGCTAAGACGTTACGTTTAATAATAATTTGTTATATTATTTTCAAACGTGTATTTAATTTTACAATGTCCCTGTGATCTCAGGTAAGTGCTCTCTTCCCTGTTTTCACAGAAGGAGAAACTGAGGCAGAGAAGTAAAGTGATTTGCCAAAGGTAAAAGACAGGAATCAGTATTATATAGCCAAGATTTACAGCTCAAAAATTCCTGGTTCCCAGTCTCACAATTCAACCACCAGCTTTTGGTTCGTCTGATGTAAGCCAGGCAGATCCTAGGCTGTTAAGTATTTTAATATTGGCTTATGTACAGTAATGGATAGTTCGGTTATAGGTTAAAGATTTAACTACACCACCACTTTGTTGCTTTTCAGGTATGGTATGGAATGGATTTTTAATCTTAACTTGCTGTCTATATTAGGGATCAGTGTATGCAGTATAATTGGATGCTGGCACCTTTGCTATATAGTTTGGTGGGTCCTGAAATGGAGCTCGTTCTGCTCTACCAGACCTTTTACATGGGACTGGGACCAAACTGCATATGTAAATGAATACAGTCAATGAACAAACCAGTCATTACACATAGAAAGCTGCAGATTTTGCAAAACCTGTAACTTGGTTTTTGGCCTACAAAACTTAAGCCTGCCCTGCAGTTGCTGGAAAATGATTTCACACACAAATAAGTTGTAATGGTCTTGGCAATATCCTTTTCTATAGTTCTTTGTGTCTTCAGCTCCATAACCATGCACGTCGAAAGTTTTAGTATTTTTAACCTTGACATAACTGCTTGCCTGTGTTCAGTACTTCTGCTCTCATGTCAAATTGACTACACCTGCTCTGTCTGCGTATCGTTGATATAAGTATATGGCTAAGCACCTACTTCTTGTCCTTGTGATAGACCTCTGGTTTCATTTCCAAAGTGTAGGAACAAATCGGGACACATTTGCATTTCAAAAATCTTAATTTCAGCAATTATACAGGCAGTGCAAGTGCCCCAAAGAAGAATGAGAGAATCATTGAACCTAGAACAGGCTGAAAATTTGACCTCCTCCTACACTAATATCATATTGTTATTGCTTGTCAGGGTGCTTTATATGCCAGCAGAAATGCCCACTATAAATTGGTGGAGGGACATGGGCTTTTAAAAACTATATACTATGGCAAATAGTTCTTAAAACAGAAATTAGCCAAACTCACTAAGATATTGCTTCGGTATTATTTTTTGTATCAGATGATTTTGAAATCAGGTGTACTTAAAATCAGCGCTTCCTTTCTTTGCAGACAAGGTTCTTCAGGTAAATCTGATATCTTTTATCTGACCAATTCAAATAGTTGGAAACAATTCTTCTTTGCAAGCTTTCGGGTATAAAAACCCGAGGAAGCATCTGCAGTTGGTGTGCGCGCTCTTCCTGGATGGGATAGTAAATTCTTGGCTGCATTTCAAATTGGCTTGTCAGGAGCCCGCCCCCGACATATTATGCCACTATTATGCATTTTCATTTCTTATATTGTATTTTTTTTTTGTAGTGGGGGAAAAGGGGATTCTGTCTAATGAACTTGCTGTTGTATCCAAAATTAATATGGTTTAGGACAGACCTCTTCGTGGCATATTTGTTTTGCAACTCCTGTTAGGTTTGCAATATCTCCTGACAAGCCCCTGCACATCTATTGCTGTCGATGCTAATTTACTTTGTCTGCTACTCCTTTTGACGTTGACACCTTCTCAAGGCACTTGACTGCGCGTTTCCTCTATCGTGCCTCTTAGGAGGCACAGCCAGAGTATTTTAGGAAGGAAAATTATATACTGTGTCTAACTTTTTCAAAACATATCACCTATTTAAACACTACCGGCAGCAGATGGATACTGTTATCACAGCATTTGTTGCCTAAAGATGTGCTTCTGTGGGTTGTCCCGCTGATGTCCGTGGGAGTGCCCACGTGAGCGCACGGAGGATCTGGCCCTCGTCAGCATGGTGGTTGCATTCGAGTCCTCCATGCTTCCCAGGGCACCGCAAAGAGTTATGGAAATGATTTTATTTACCTTTTAGCTTAATTCTTAATAGTGTGCTTTGCTCTGTACTTGCTGATAATGAGTTTTCATCTAATTTCTGTGCATTTTTCCCCCTTACATGAAGACCTTACCTGTTTGGAGCAGGATGTTTTTCTATAAAAGCTCCATGGTGAGTCCGCAGTTCAATCCCAGCATGCCTATAATTCATTTGCCATACTCACTGAAAGTCACTTTCTGTTCAGTTTGATTTTTGTACTGCATGAGCTGATCCATAGGTGGAAGCACTGCATAGTCATCATCAATTTGTAATCTGCGGATGAATATTTGCCATTAAGCATATGAGAAACAAATGCCTTTGCTCTTCTTCCCTGTCAGGGGAAACTGCTTTTTTTTTTTTTTTTTTTTTAAGTAGCAGAGAAGTGGGAAGAAATCATAATATCCATTTAGGCAAAGACCACTTCAAATTTCTATTCTAAAATGTGAAGTCTATTTACTTATTGAAACAGCCTTCCCTCATTTGTTTCTGACCTTAACTAAGGAAGCTGCTTGAGGGGGGGAAGGAGCCAATATAGACTCCTCTGTAGTAAGATAAATTAGATATCAACAACATTTTGTACCAAGGGAAATTAAATAGAATTAAATTGCATAAGCATTTCCCACTTGAGAAACCACTTTTAATGATGAAATATTTTAAAGAACACTAAATAAACCGACATTCGTAAGTGCTTCTTTCATGCTGTCCCTCAACAATCAGCAATTTTTCAATAATAGAGTATAATGTTGCATATTGTCCCAAGCAACTTAAAAATATGGGAAGTAAATAGAAGCATTAAAATAATTTTGCGGGCACGGTTCTTACGGTAGATGTGATATCTTTTATTAGACCAACTGAATAGTTGGAAAAAATGTTCTTTGCAAACTTTCAGGCTCAAACACCCTTCTTCAGGCATAGGGAGACTCTGCTGGTGGTACATGTCCTCCAAGGTCATAAGAGTAGCAGTCACAAATATGGGGTTTTGTAATGTCCTGGTCACTTCATTGTGAAAAGGGTATGATTGGGTAGGCATGGGTTTAGGCAAGTAGAACAGCACAGAGATGGGAGGCTCTTAGGAAGAACGTGCAAAGAAACGTGTAGAGAATATGTGCTCTGTCCTATGCTGGGATCTGCAACTCTCCTGACCACTAATGAGATATCTCCAGGCATGTCTTGCCTGTTGAGATTGCTGCACCTGTATCTGTGCTCGGTACAAAGGTGGCATATAAGGAGCCTTGTCGGTGTGCAGAGTTCTTGAGAGACGGAAGAGACTTGGCACTGAAAGAATACAAGAAGAACAGGGTGGTAATATTTCTTAATTACGAGACCGAAGGAAATAGGGTAGAATGTCCTTCTATGATGAGTAGTAACTGTGTGAGCGTTATACTGACAACCCTCCTGCAGCTTTTGCAATTCATGATGTGTTTCAATCTAGTTTAAATAATTTGTACAGAAGCTTCCTGGGAAATAGTAAAAGCACTCAACGTACTGACCACTTCTACATGGGTCATTTTTTGTAAATAGCTCGCGTTTTTATATACAAACTTGCAGAAATCTAGCTTCCTAGGAGTCGTTTGTAAGTGTAGGTTTCCATGCAGTTGAGCATTTCACCCCATAGTTATTTTTCCTATCGACCAAAAAAAAAACATGCTGGAAGAAAAGTTTTGAATGCAGATCGTTTAACCAACGGATGTGTCAGAAGCTCAGTTCATAAAGCAGGCTCCCGTAGCTTCAACAAAGACCGTCATAGACACTTGTCAACCAGAAATGATTTTAGATTGAAACAAGATTAAAAGGCCTAGATTAAAGAGAGGAATATATGAAGTAGACTTTAAAATCGTTGCTCGTCTTTCACAGGACTCTCTTGTGGTCTGTTTGATGCCAGTGTTGCTCACGAGAAAATGGTCTTTACTCGCCTACAGAAAAATTGGGATAAAAAATACACATCGGGGGGAGGGCAGAAATATAAGGCATGTTGTTTCCATTAAAGTCTTAATGAGACCTTAAATTATGTAAGCAAAATGAACGGGGATTTGACAGCTTATTGCCTGTTGACTGCAAGAACCTATAATTTTTTTTTTGTTGGTTTTTCTTTGTTGGTATGTGAATTGGGAACATGATTTCATTTACTTATTTTAGGCAAAACTCTATAAATTAATGCATTTGCAAAATTTATATTTGAGAAGCACTGTGTGTATTCTTGAGAGAGGCTCAACATTACAGAGCCCTTCCAAATATAATTGGAAATTTCATATGGTTTTTTTCCTCTTCATACTTTGAGAGCTGTTACTTGCCAAGTTGCCTACTGGTTTATTGTACGTACTATTTTTCCTTACAAATTAAAATATGCTTACATTTTAGAAAGCTCAGTTGCCCACCAAAGTGCGGTGGGTCTCTTGATGGTATACAATTATCTATTTAGGTAAAAAATATTGTAATAATTTTAATCCATCTTAGTTTGTATTTGACATCGAAAAATAAATATATACAGGGAAAATTTTAAATCGGCATCACTGTTTAGGATTGTGTTAGAAAAATTCTGCCATTGTGACACAGCAAAAGCATTATGAAGAAATGATGACCAAAGACTTTGTATTTCATGCAACAATTACTAGTGAAATAAGTTGCTTTTTAAAAAAAACGCTATTTTTAATTTTCCTGTTACACAACAGAACTGGAAAAATCATGTTTCGTCTCAGAGTCTTCCTAAAGAAATAGTTCATTTATCTGTTTATCAGCTTTTTTCACTTTTTTAATTCCATTTCTGTGGCAGATGCTCATGTCATTTCTCCCAAGTCACGTATATGCCTTATATGCATTTAAATGCACTGCATTTTGTCATTGACTGAGACCCTGATTCAGGAAAGCATTACTATCGAGCATAGTAATTCAATGTGTCTTTAACTTGAAAACTGAAGTCAGCGAGACTTAAAATGTGCTGAAGTGCTGTCCTCAATACAGGCATAAGTATGTGCTCATGTACTCCCTGGGAAAAGGACCTAAATTTGCTAAGGGAAAAGAAATATATTATGTGCTTTTGACATTTCTGTAACAGGAGAATGCTTAAATCTTTTTGAGAAGCTTTAGATAGTGAACTCATGCTGAATATTTTCAATTTTAGTTTTATAATAAGTGCATTAGGGGATAGTTTGAGACTCTTGCCGAGTGGTTAAAACCTTTGACTGGAGAACCAGGAATTGCTCAGGTCTCTATCCAGATTGGTCCCTGTCTCAATGAATTATCTTGGGCGTTCCTCTCTGCCTCGATTTCCCCATATCTAAAAGCAGGTTGTAATTCAGAGTGATCTTGTAAGGATTAATCAATTGTAGCCAAATTATGTTCACTTAGATGCAATTTCCAACTGTATTTGCACTAAGCCAGAGATACTGGATGAATCTGACTTTGAGTAGCTTTGCTATTGATTTCAAATGAAGTAGGCACAAGCCAAATGTTTGTAAAGCACTTAAAGATGTTCTTTATAAGGCACAAATTCAGGCAAAACTCCCATTAGACTCAAAGCAGGATGTTAAAAATGTTTTCATTACTGTTGTGCTCTCGAAGTCCACAAGCACCAGGGAAGCTTTGCACATGCAGAGAGGGCCTGGCTGGTGATACTGGGCTCCTGTACATGTGCAAAGAGCCAGCTCTGATGCGCTGGAAACCCAATGTGTCAGAGCAGCCTCAGTTAATTAAGTTTGCTGGGGCACAGAAATGAATGCACTCCACCAGAATAGTGCCACGTGTTGCACCGTCCCCACGCTGAAAAACGGTGGCAGGGCACTTTGATCTAAAGCTCCTGGAACGACCTTTAGTTTAAAGCACCCCGCTGCCATTTTTCAGGGCTGGGGACGCTGATACACGTGACACTCAGGCGCCTTTAATTAACGCAGTTCACTAATTAAAGCACCCCCCCCCCCCCCAACACACACCTCCTGGAGCACTTTAAAACTGCCCATTGTCTTCCCCAGAAATCGAACCAGACTCCCCGGTGGGATTTCTATGGTAGGATCCGAGACTGGAGAATATATATCATTCCCCGTTGAAGCTTGCAGCAGAGCTCTAGCTGAAAATTAAAATTAGCCCAAAACTGTACTCCATTTCCATGGTCCTTCCCCCATCCCTCAGTTGAAGGCTGAGAAGCCAGGATCAGCATGGATGAAGGCAGAAAGTTCTGGCCTCTAACAGGACTCTAAGCCTGCAGGGTTTGTAGGAAGGGCCTGTTCATGCGAGGGGAGAGAAACTCATCCCAGCATTAAATGGGGGGAATCTTAGGGAGAAAAGAGTCTTTTGGAGATAAGTTACACTTTTGACCTCTCCTATTTTATTATTGGCTATATCTTTTGCCTTGCTGCCTATGTACAATGATTTGGGAAAACCTAGACTTAGAAAAGTAAGATTTTTTTTTTTTTTGGTCTATTCTTTAATTTCTTACATACATTTTGCAACCATCGATCCTGTGGATCATGGTGTACCTGGAAGAGGTCCGTGTGCCCATCACACCAAGACCTTAAGTGCGTATGCCTAAGCAAGAGCACGGAGGAGTGGAGGCTGCCCTAGTCCGACCATCCTCCCTTTAGACTCCCGAGACTGAGTCCAGATGTTCAGTGCCTCGATGGCTATAACTTCTGCATGAGAGCAACGGATTAGAGCTGCTGCCGACTGTGGGCACGTTTTTGTCATGGTGATGTCTCTTGGCCTTTCTCCACCCAGGAGTACCCACAAGGCAGTGGGGGCTAGGGTTTTGAGGCACCCCATACTCGCCTTGCTCTGGAGGTTGCAACACGGTGGTAATTTATAGGAGCTACCCCAGCAAGAAGCCCCACCACGTTGCCACCGGGCCCTCCAGTCGGTGCAGTTTACGGTTGTACCCAGGACCATACATCTAATCATCTTTTAATGGGATAGACCACAATTGTAACTGTATGAGCTTTGTAACCACAAATTTAATCTCTTGTTTCATAAACTTGGCTTCTGCTCTTCAGCTTCACCTTGCTGCATGATATCCCTTTTAGCAAAGATCATGGTTGAGCATGCTGGAAGTTACCATATTTCAAATATGTATTTAAATTAATTGTTTTTAATAGTGAGGCCAACTTGTCCTTTAATTTCAGGACTCGGAGTAATTTATGAAGTGCTGACAGGTTAAGGGGGAGTAAAGAGCAGAAGTTCACAGTAGAAACAAGTCATTCACCACCTACCTTCATTATTTTTTAGCCTTCATACATAGAAGCTTGAGAACGTGGTCACAGCTGTACAACAATTAGGTTTTCAGGTTTCAGTGAAGGTGGTTAAAAATCATAATTTCATGAAAATACATTTCTCCAATAATATTACCTTTATGTACAATAGCTGGATTCAGGGAGTTCTTTAGAAGAAAACAATTTGAGTTGCAATATATGAATGAAAACTCAAGGGCCTAGTATAACACAATGGTAAAATTAAAGATTCCACTAATGCAAAACTTTCCAGGATGGATTTGTTGACATCACCACATTTTTTTTTTTTTGTCAAAAATATGTTTAAACCAAATATGATGCACCAGTTGTGGGGCTTTTTTTTTTTTTAACAGCACTAAGTTTGACCACATGAGTAATCATGTTTTACAAGGTCTCCTTTTTCTGTCTACAAAACATCATTCTTGAACAGAAAATGTTTTGGCACTGAAAACCGGCACTTAAATGCATGCTTTGAAAGATGTGTGTTTTAAAGACATGGTGTAAATATAATGTAGTTTATGCCATTTCCTTTAAAGCTGTTTATATTGGTATTTTGACAAACATGATTCTTTGGGAATGGGAGTGGGAAAACCCCTGTAGAAGTTTTAATTTCTTACAGATAGAAAATCAAATTCTGTTCCCAGTGAAAGCATTGTAAATTGAGAACAAAATCCATCTGAAGTCAATGAAATCACTGCAGATTTGTACCACCGGTAGAATTTGCTCCGGAGTTTAATTTTCTCCTTTGCTTTCTATTGATACGTGTTTTGTCTCCCAAGATATTTTGTTCATCTCATATTGCACTGTTAAAACATATTTGAAATTCTCTGTGAAAGTGTGGACTGGAGGAGATTGATACAGCTGAATCATGACCATGCTCCGTTTTTGCTTTATATTAACATTCAACAAGTTACTGTCTCACCGGCCCCTCCTCTCTTGTATTAACTGTAGTCATTAATTGATTGAGGTACATATCAGTAAGCAGCCATACACATAAGCACATGCATTTACACTTCATTTCTGCAGGACATGCTAATAATACATGAGTAACCTATTGATGCCTCTTTATGGGAAGTTATGGAATTACTAAGTAATTATTGATGGAGCATTTGTTGTATAAAATCTGGAGAACTCTACTTTTATAACAAAGACTATTTTTTTAAAAAAGCTAATAAACCTAGATTGAATTGTATGATGTGATAGTACATATTTTAACATGTGAATGCAGGTGGTAATAGTCCACTTGGAAGTAAGGCAATGCATCTTTAGCTGAGAAGTTTTTACAACACAGCTTGTTGACCCAGGAATCTGTCATTGGATTTGTAAGAGTTGGCTATATCCAGTGCTTTGTAATGGTTGAGTAAGGAAGTTAGCAATACAAACAATGCTGGTGGTTCTTTTGGGGCGTTCTGTTCTCTCAAGTTTGCAAGAGAGCTAGGAGCCTGGCTGAACGCCGCTGACACCTACCAGTCTTTCCACTGACATCAGACCTTTGGTCAGTGTAACGGGATTACTTTTGAGACGGTTTTCTAACAGAACTTTCGTATATGTGACCACAGATGACCTGTGCATCTGACCTGTGAAAAGTAGCTTAATTTTTTTCTGTGCCTCAGTTGGCCTATCTGTAAAATAGGCATAATAATACTACACCAGGGTATTAGGAGGCTATATTCCTAAAGTTTGTAGTCTGATGAAATCATTGCCTGAAAGTGCAGTATAAACTATTCACCTTTTCTCCCAATCTTAATAATGACTAACCTAATTTCTCCCTAAATTTCATTAAAAAACAATAAACTTGGATGAGTTCTTGTTGAAGGTATTTCCCTTCCTCCGCACCTCAGTTTAGTGTTCAATATTTAAAGCTAGTGGAAATGACAGTCTCTCCGGAGAGGACTTGGTTCTCACCACCCTTGAGGGTTTCTTCCCATCACTTTGCCCTCATTGGGGTAGATGGTAGTACTCAAGCTGCTTTTACTGACATGAGAGGGAGCAAAAGCACGCTTTAAGAAAGCCTGCTGGGGAGACGGGACTTTGGGAAGTTAGAGCCCTTCCCCAGCGTGCAGAGGGTTGGGAAATACCAGGTGAGGGAGTTGCATTAGTTGTATTTGCTTGCTCATAGTAACTAATTTTTTATTTAATTTTTTTTTTGCATGATGCCAATTTGAAAATTTGTTCTTGTTTAAACATCCTTGTTAATTATGGCTGGCTTCTTGCTTCTGGGTCATCGGCTAACAAGTTATTTGTAATTAAAAAAAAAAAAGAAAAGGTTGACTAATATTTATCTGGCAAGTGCCATTATAGTTGCACATCAGATTCAGGTTGTCTGTTATCTTTTGGTTTTCTAATTGTTCTTCTGCCACTTGAACTCATGATAGCTGCATAAGGACATGGTTGTGCTTATGCCTATGGGACCGACAACCACCTTGTACAAAAATAAGATGAACAAGAACAGGTACTGTGACAGCAGAGCCAGATCTACTGCGTATTATGCAGCAAGGAAGTAAGTGGCTGAAATAAGGAAAGGAGGTGGCAAGACACAAGTATTAGAGAAACAGAATAAAAAGAGAGAAAGACAGGGGACTGCAGTAGTCAGATGGAGAGGAGGAGAAAGCCAGGACTTGAAAGTAGCATCTCAGACATCCTTTTTGTTTTGCAGTTAACTGAAAAAATAAGCATTGCCCTGAACATGATTTTGAATTGATGTAAAACAGGATGGAATCCTTCTCTGTTTGGGGGCTTATTTAATCCCCTGATTCCTGCGTTCAGGTTTGCCTGTGGAGACTTTCACCTATAAAAAAAATGATAAAAGCACATTTTTAAGAGGCAAAAGAAGGCAATTAAAACACTGGATAACGTGGACCATGAATGTAATTGTATTATCGTTGCATCTGCTACATGTACATGGTGGCGTTCCAGAGGAGAATGTTTCTTAAGCTCATTTGATGCAGTATGTTGAGTTTATTGCATAGCATCTGGTTGTGAGTTTTGTCTCCACTTCCTTCCATCCCCTGCATGATCCTTCCTCCTTCCATCCCATTTCTCCCATGGTTTCAGTGGAGTTGAAGCCACACTGCTGTCCTGCAGAACATGTTACGATTGTTTGTAAGTATCTCTTTTTTAAAAATGCAAGAAAATGGCAACCCACGAAAATGATTGAGTGCAAATTTAAGCTTTTGATCCTAGAAAATTCAATAAGCAGAGGTGCCAAAATGTTTGCATTCATTTTGGAAGCTGTTCCTCTTGGTTTCAGATGTTCGACATTGGGTCTTTCAAAGAGTTTAAACAATTCTGCATTATTAGACAGTACTGTTCATCATAAGGCTGATGGATTTGGCAGTTAAGAAATGCTTGAACCTGCTTATTCAAAAATTCTGCGCCCCCACAGTCCCAGTTCAGTATTGTGGGACCTGCTGGTCCTTCCAGTTTGAGCGGATGTCCAGTAAGCAACTTCTTGACTGAGTGAAATGCAACTTTGAGAATTGCTTGGTGTTTATTCTACTTTGTTCTTATTTCAAGCAAAGCCAAACCAGCTCCACAGATTTCGCCTAGTAAATCCATGGGAGGAGAGTTCTGTGTTGCTGCCGTCTTTGGATCGTCGAGATCCTGGTTTGCAAATAATCCAGGGATAAAAAGAGAAAAAGGTTTGTATGTTAGGAAATGCTAAGTTTGGTTCTTTGCATGTAACTTGGATTTAAAAAATATATATTTTATGACTGAGTTTAAGCTGCTTATACTGGACTTGTTTGACAAAAAGCTATTTTCTTAGTATTTATGGTAGATAGTTGGACCTTGTAGCCGATCTCAGCGCTGTTAGTGCTGTGCTGGTTTAGGGAATATGCATTGGTGTTGGCTTTATTGTGGCAACAGCAGACATGACATTGAACTTGACAGCAAGTAGTTTCACAGCCTAATAACGGCCTCTTTTCAAGGCTGCTGTTGCCTGTCAAAAAATGGACTAGTAGGTGATTGATTGATTGATTGATTGAATCTGCCATCCTGGTGAATGGCAAGGTAATTGCTCTGTAACAAGGCATAATGAGGTGTGAACACCTGTGCACCCTCTGAATCTACATGAACTAGGTATCATGCTTAATGTGACGTAAGTGGTACCTTTAATATTGAGATCGGTGGGAGATGGCATATGGCTTATTCTAGCCGCGTGATTTCAATAGCATTTGCCACGGCATGTCTTTAAGTCATTTGACTCTCTTTTCCGAACGGTTCCTGTGTCTGCCTGTTTAGTTCATGAATTAATTTTGCAATAGGATATTGACTGTCAAATTTCTGGAAATCTTTACAAACCAGCGGTGTCGGGGTCATATTATTCGAAGGCTTCACGTTAGCTGGGATCAATTGACAATAACTTGAAAATTACACAATAAATCAGTTATTTTTCTGTAGCGCTGAAATGACCACAAAGGCACTTGTGAGTCTGTTCAGTCTCAGCATGCCTCTGCCCCTTGGCTTGGGAAAGACTCTGCTGGCGTGTTGGAGAGAGATCCACATATTAAGTGATTTTTGCTTTAGCCGTGTTGGTCTAAGGACACAGGCAGACAAGGTTCTTTGGGTAAATCTGATATCTTTTATTAGACCGACTGACATAGTTGGAAAAATTCTTCTTTGCAAGCTTTTGGGTACAAATACCTCTGGCTTTTTTACTGTTCGTTGCATCCAGGAAGAGCACAGACCAACTGCAGACGCTTCCTCAGTCTGACGAAGGGTGCCTGTACCTGAAAGCTTACAAAGAAGAATTTTCCAACTATTTGAGTTGGTCTAATAAAAGATATGATATAGCCAATGAACCTTGTCTGTCACATTTTAAGTAACATTTGTTTTCAGAAGTACCTGCAAAAACATGAACTTGGCCATTTGTAACCCCTCAAACACATGACACTGGCAGTGCCTGACCACCCAAACCCACTCCATTCTGGGATATAGTTTTCAAAGCCATAGATGGGAGATGTAAACGCCAGGGAAGAAACAAGCATGCTCTGTGCTTTTCTTCTCAACCTCTCCAGCCTTTCCCTTCATGATATTAATGGTTACTCTGTACCACAAATTCATAAAGAAGGCAAATCATTTTTTTTAAAATGCAGCAAATCTACTGGAACTATAAATGTTTCCTATAATTGTACTCTGCTATTGTAATAATAAATGTTTTCTATGTCTTGTTTTGAACAGATCAATCAAAGCAATTTGTAGTAGAATCACTGTATATTATCAGCTGTTACGGGACCCTGGTGGAGCATGTCTTGGAACCACGTCCGCTCAGCACTGCTCCAAAGATCAGCGATGATACTCCTTTGGAAATGATGACTTGCCCAAGAGCCAGCTGGACACTGGTTAGGTAGCTCATCTCCTGGAATTTTGTTCTGCTTTTTGTCCTTGCGCTTAATTCAGACCATTATCTTGTAAAGTGCTGAGCTATTCTTGGAGGGCATGAATGAGCTGTGACATCAGCCCTTATTGACTTCAGTAAGAACGGAGGATGCATGCTAACGTCCAGGTAGTGTGGAGCGCCCATCAGGGCTGTAACCTTGCTAAGCACCAAATTCACGTCTTTGGGAATCCAGTGCTAAACTCCCGTAGACTTCGTTAACACCAGGACTTCTAAAGAGCATAAAACTTCCACTCCCCTCTCTTAACAAACACATTTTATGCACAAATTTAAAGTTAGCAGTTGATGCGTGTGGGAATCCATATATATTGGTGATTTAAAATAATCAAACAATAAGTTCGCTTATTTTCAATACTAAAATAAGGCTACCCTTGTTAAGGCAATGCTGAAGTGTTGCACTGAAATATGTGACTGGAGCCTGTGACATGGAGTAAGACATCCTATAAGTAGCTGAAGGCGGCATCTTATCAAGGATTGCAGAAGAAATTGCTCCTGACTTGTGGAATAAAACAAACAGAAATTGATGAGAAGATATTGTCCGTCCTTTTGACATTTTAAAATATTTTTCCATCGATTTTTGTAGGCTCCGATATTCTTTAGTGCTACTCATTCCTGGACTGGACTAATCAATACTTGATTTACCAAGCTATTTAGGAGTGGCCAACCCTAATTAAAATTACAACACAGTCTTCAAGACTATTATTGTTGAAAAGAGCAGGTTGTAATGGAATTGCAAATTCTAATTGGATCAATAGTCCATAACTTTACACAGCACTATTTCACAGTTTTGTAAATGCCCTATTTCCTTCGCAGAACGGTAGCAACAACGGTATAACAAAGGTGCCCGGGTTCTGTTGCGTTTAATATGAAACGGCACTAGCACAACATACAGTAGTTCTAACATTCATTTACTAACGTATTCTGAATTGCCTTGACTGCTTTTTGTGTTCAGTATACAATGAACGGAGAAAAGGTCTTGTCCCTTCTTCACCATCCCTGTGAATTGGTCACACTTTTCAACTGACTGTGTTTGTATTTCAGCGTATGAACAAGCTTATTTAAATAATTATAAACATTGTACAAGCTTGTCTAAATAATTGTATGTGATGACACAGGCACTGATTTACATTCTCTGTAATAGCTTAAATATTAATAGTCTTGTGTTTTTTCCCCAGAACTCCTCAGTGGAATGAACTGCAACCACCATTTAATGCAAACCACCCATTGCTCCTAGCTGCAGATGCAGTACAGTACTATCAGTATCTGCTCGCTGGCTGTAAGTAGCTAAGAACTTGGTCTTGTTTTTTTGGTGTGAATTGAATTTAAAATAGTAATTTCCAAAAACAATTTCTTAACTTACAATCTTAAAACAAGATACATTGGTTACCAGGGCCTTTTCTTAGGACCATTTTGCAAATACCAGTGACTATAGGTTTTGTATTCTCCAAAGCATGAATGAAATGGGGAGAAAATTTGGAGTCTTCCCAAGATGAAAGCTGTAGCCAATACATTTTAGAAATGTAGTGGCGGTGATTGTGTTGACATTTCTATTCCGAATTCTTGTTCTAATAAAAATAGGCATTTAATACCCAGCCTTAAAAAATTGCTGCAGGTTAAAACGTGGCATAAAAACTGAGGTTCATATGAGAGAGTTTTTAGTGGAAAATAGGTAGGTGATCTGGTCCTCAGTTGTTGTTGTGTTTTTGGGGTTTTGTTTTTTTTTTAAAGAGGCTGGAAAAGGCTAGTGCAGGGGTTGGCAGCATTTTTGGCTGGAGTGCCAAAATCACCCTAACCTCCACCCACGCCTATATTTAGCGTGTCAGAGATAGCGGAGCTGCAAGGGGCCCAATCCTCATTGCTGGCAGTGGCTGCACACATGCCTCTAAATGGTCTGCGCTGCCCCAGCCCCTTCCCCGCGTGCTGCAAGCTGCGTGTGCACCCACCGCTGCCACGGAGCCGGTGCCGGGGCTCCAGAGCCCGCCCAGCTGTAGCAGGTGGCTGGAAGGCTGCAAACAGCGGTGGCGGGCTCTGCAGCCCTGGTACTGGCTCCATGGTGGCAGCAGCTGCACTCGTAGCTCTGGGCAGATGGTGGGGGAGAAGCCAGGGTTGCACTGCCCCAGGCCCCTTCCTGGCCATGCACCCAGAGGTGCACCCACAGTTGCTGCAGCCACGGAAATGATGCCGGGCCTGTGGGGCCCAATGCCCCTGTTTGCAGGCTCCCGGCTGGGCTCCAGGCAGCGTCTGGCAGAAGCTGCCCAAAGTCCAGGTCAGCTGTGGCATGCCGAGGAAAATGGCCTCACATACCATGCTCTGGCACGCATACCTGGGGGCTACCGATCCCTGGGCTAGTGGGTTTTTTATTATTTTTTAATTGTTGGCTTTTTTAGAATTAAATTTTGCATGTAATTTTGTAGCCCGAGTTTCTGATACAGACTAATGACTTCCAATTGAGTCTTTAAAATGCCTGCATATTTTAAAATGTAAGTTGAATTTTTACTTATTTTGCTTCTCTACATAGGAGCCAGGTGTACGTTTTCATATGTCTGAAGGTTTAAATTTGTCTTGTTGGGCTTTAATATGTGGGATAAATAACCCGGCACATAAAAGATTGCAAAGTAGAATTCACACTTGTCTTGTACTGCACGCCAAAAATGATGCTCAGAAAAAATAACAATAAATCAGAGTTGATCATTAGAAAATACAGTTTGAAAGAAGGCGCAACATCTGGAGAGGGTAACATGTCTCCATAATAATGCCTCTTCATATATACTGCTTCTCCTCCTTAATTGTGAATGTTTGTTTCCAAGCAGTATTAGTTATGGTCCGTTTGAGCTCAGAAGGCCCATGAAGTTAGCATGGCTCAGGCACGCCAACTTCTTTAGCTGGGCAACATGCAAGGGAGTGATTTTCAGCTTCCTGGAGGGAGGAATGAGGAGAGGACCTAAGGTGTCTTGCTGTGGCTGCAGAAGCATGAGTTTCAGCTGGGTGAAGCCAGAGGGGAAGTCAAGAAAAGCTTTGCAGCGGCACCATCTTGGACTGGAAGGAGTTGGTGCAGCAGGAGATTGCTGGGAACATACCGGTGGTTTCAGCATGGGATCACTATCAGAAAGCAGCTTCCAAGTGTATTCAACGATAGAGTAATAAGTATGGTTTCATGTCGCCTGGAGTCCAGACAGTAAGAAGTGTCAAGCCAAGCCAGGTATTGCAACTGAGACTCATCTCATGCCACCAGATTTTCAGGGTCCTCTCATTTCTTTCCTCCTCTCTTGTATTCACTTCCCCACGTGAATCAGATCCTTGCTGGTAATTCACATTGTCAGCATTTTTCCTTTTCCCCTGGAATTTGTCATTGCTAGGATCTTGGACACCAGGATTTTGGAGGCTGCTTCTTTCTGGAAGCCTTTTCAGGGATGTCTGGCCGGTGCGGGATCTATCCACCTCGTTATGAGGGAGCAAATCTGTATTGCGCTGTCAGTTTAGGAACATTGCATACGCTTTCTTTTCCTTTGGATAATACAAAACGGGAAGAATGTGACAATGGGGAAACAGCGCATCTCAAAGCAGACCCTCTGCTTAATGGACAGGGTAGATGAAGCTAGCATATTACGTGGCTCTAGTCATTAAAAATGCAGAAAGTGAATGTCTGGGTCACAAGATTGTGAGTCTAAAACATAACTAATGAAACCTGCTGTAAGAGCCAAATTAGATGTATTCCCTCTACCTGGCCAGCTGGTGCATGCATCCTGGAAGCCAGAATATGGGTGAGGCCTACAGGGGTAGAGAATATTTTCTCTCTTTAATTCTTGGCTGGGATAATACTCACAAAGCTCTATTCATTTTTAAATGCTATATATCCTAGGCTGTACTCTGTGTTGTATTTTCTACATGCGTTAGTCTTCCGTATTTCAGAGGAACTTATTTTAATTCTGATGCTTCAAACAGCGTTGCAGCCATACAGATCTTTCCCCCTCGTGTCTAGCCTTAAAAATCAGCCCCGAAGGATGGTTGTGGGATTTTCATTTGTTTTCCTTGGATCTGTGAATCGAGTGGCACAGACAGCGAGCACACTTAGCAGAGTATAATTATGGGAAGAAAACAATGCTGCGAATGGAAATAGTAAAGAAGCTGTCCGTCCTGGGAAGAAGAGGAGGAGAGGATGGTGAACTACCTCATAATCCACAAAGAAAACAAATCAAATGCAGGGCGATAAACAGAATTGTAGCTGTATTATACAGAAAAACCTTCATAAGTGTAAGTCTTGTGTTTTTCTTGGTGCCTCATAAACACAGACCTTCACTTTTCTTACAAATATAGTACCTCTCTATTTAGTGTCCGTTTTCCCGATGGGCAGAGGGGTGGCACAAGCCCCAGGCTTGTGAAAAATAGGGCACACGTGAAACGTAAGCAGTACCGAAATGTTGGGCTTGCTCTTTATATAGGAGCAGGTTTCCCCTGAATTAAGAAAGACTGACTTATTTCAGAGAGGTTTTCCTGAAGTCACGGTGGGATTCTGCTACACGAAGGCCTCGCTGGCGAAGCAGAGAGATTGTGTTGGTAATTTCTGCACATAATTTATGGGCGAAAACTGAAAAAGTACAGGCTATAATCTAATATTTCTATAACCCAGGCAGTAGAGTAGATGCATTAATCCAATCCAGGATTGCGATAGCAGACTCGCTCCTGTATATGGTCTGCTGCAGCAGACGTCTTTGGAATTATCTGCTGAAGGTTGCTATGGCGAAGATGACTCAGCTGTAAATTAGTGCTGCTTTTGCAAGAGCAGAAAACAATATAAAACCTTTTCGCGGCCCAAAGAGATTACATTGAAAATGACTTCATAGCAGACCAAAAATACTAATGAACACGGCACACGAATTTGAGGTCTGTTAGCTTGGATTCGTCTGCTTTACAGATTCAAGGAAATAGAGTTAGAGTTTATGGGTTTTGTTTCAAATTAAAGAAAATAGGCAAATGGGATTCTTTCCCCAGCTCCCATGAAAGATGTGCAGTTGGAAATTTCAGACGCAAGCCACGCGAACGTGGGTGCCTAGATTTGGCCACTGGTCTTTCAGAGTCGCTCCTCTTTCACAACCCTGTCAATACAGATGGTTGTAGAAGTGCGATTCCTTTAGGAGTAGTCTGCCTAAGTGTTGTGCGGCAGGACAGAAAAATAGAAGGCAGAAAAACAGGTGGAAGCTGCAAAAAAAACCCAGTGCGTTAGCTGCCGGGTTTCAGTGACTGGATCTTCTGTTTTTGTGCGATAGAAGCAGGCTTCTTGCTGGAATTTCAGTCTTTGCAAAGTGTCCAGTTTAAATGCATTGGTTTGTATTTGAGACAACAGAGCACTATTGGGTGCATATTGGTTGCTGTGTAATATTTGTGAGATTAAATGCGGAGAGAGGTCGGTATTTTCAAATGTCCGTGTCTGTAATTACCGGTAGGTACTCGGGTCCATATACAAGCATCCGTATACATATTTTGAAGTGGGTAGTACCCCCAGTGAAGTCAATATGAGCTGTGCATGTTCTTTGTTAGGAAAAATCAGGTCATTTGGTTAGGTAACTAAATGTGGAAGTTGACTTTCTAACTCTGGTGGTATATTTCTACCTCCAGTAGCCAGTTGGGGCGAATAGTCTCAGTGCAAGTTCGAATAACTACTTCTCTGCAGTCTGATCATGCTGCCGTTCATTTGTTCCACCTTCGATACCCTGAGTTCTTCATGTTCTGCATCCCTGCATGCCTTGGTTATTAGAGCAAAAAGTACACAAGGGCCTTATGTCCTGAAATGAAGAAAAGGCAACACCATTGCCCTGTAGTCATATAAATTACACCAGTTGTTTTGCTGGAATTAGTGTTTGGAAGAAAGAGCCTCATTTGCATTGTAAATCTTTTTTTAAATACTGTTTTCTTGTGCTATCAATAGCGAACGTGTCTAGATAAGACAGAAGGGAAAGCGGTGTCCCAAGACATGCGTCTTTCATGGGGCAAAAAGAGTAGTGTATCTGTAGTCCTCTTCTGCATAGATCTTGCTCTGTAGTGCTTTGAAGGTTAATGCTGTGTGCAATTATTTAAAAATGATCTATCCAGACTTTCAGAAGTACTTGGCACCCAGTGGTTTCTGTAGGGTGCAATAGGGACTGCCTTCTACTGGGCACTTTTGAAAACTTGGTCACTGTTAACCTTCACTTGCAATTTCCAGTTGGAGTTGAATTGTTAATTGAGGCCAGACCTCCCCTTTTCCGTGGGCTCTGCTCATTTGTAGGTGCCTCTTTCGTC